AATGTTAACAGACTTAGGAAAAGTAAATTCTATCATTCAGCCAATGGGAGCTCTGCAACCAGGGCTGCTGTCACTGGTTATGATTCCTAAAAACTGGCATATTATTATCATAGATCTAAAAGACTGTTTTTCCACCATACTTTTACAACCAGCTGATCAAGAGAAATTTGCTTTTACCGTTCCAACCTTAAATAATTCTAGGCCTGCTCGGAGATATCACTGGAAAGTCTTACCTCAGGGTATGTTAAATAGCCCAACCCCGTGTCAGCATTTTGTTAATCAACCCTTACAACTGTTAAGAAAAGACTTTCCTCAAGCTTATATCACTCATTACATGCATGATGTACTTTTCACTTGTTCTTCTGAGCAACAACTTACTTCCTTATATGCCAGAGCTCGAATTGTTTTACAATCCTTTGGCCTAATTATAGCTGAAGATAAAGTACAGAAAAATCATCCTTTCTCATATTTGGGTCTGATTATAGATAGTAACAAAATAACGCCCCAAAGGGTTCAAATAAGAACAGATAAATTACAGATTTTAAACGATTTTCAGAAATTGTTAGGGAATATAAACTGGCTCAGACCTGTGTTAGGAATCCCTATATATGCTTTGCAAAACCTGTTTGACATTCTTAAAGGAGATCCAAGTCTCAATAGTCTACTCAAACTTACGGAGGCAGCCAGTCAAGAATTGGCTTGGTTTCAGAGCCACGTTCACAATTTCCAGCTCTCTAGAGTGGAACTGGAAAAACCAGTTGATCTACTTGTATTTACAACTGAACATTCTCCTTCTGCAGTTTTAACACAGGAAGAAAGTATTATTGAGTGGATTTTTCTCCCTCATAAACAACAAAAGCGTCTAAGTACTTACTTAGACAAAATAGGTCAGATAATATTTAAAGGAAGACAAAGGCTAAGACAATTAAATGGATATGATCCTAATAAAATCGTAGTCCCTTTAACTAATCTCCAAATTCAAGGGGCATTTCAACAAAATTTGGATTGGCAGGTTGGAATAGTGGATTTCATAGGACAATAGATCATCATTATCCTAAACATATACTTTTCTAATTTTTAAAATTAACTACCTGGATTTTGCTAAAAATAATTAAAAATACTCCTATTTCAACTGCCCCCACCTTTTTTACAAATGGAAGTAGCAATGGCAAGGCCGGATATTCAGGACCTTTAACCAAAGTGTGGCAAACACCCTTTCAATCAGCACAAAAGGTGGAATTACAAGCTGTAACTCAATTATTGCAGGATTATACTTTGCCATTAAACATTGTTTCTGGGCCTGGTGCGATGGCTCATGCCTGTAATCCTAACACTCTGGGAGGCAGAGGCGGGTGGATCAATCAAAGTCAGGAGTTCGAGACCAGCCTGAGCAAGAGCGAGACCCCCGTCTCTACTAAAAATAGAAAGAAATTAATCAGACAACTAAAAATATATAGAAAAAATTAGCTGGGCATGGTGGTGCATGCCTGTAGTCCCAGCTACTCGGGAGGCTGAGGCAGAAGGATTGCTTGAGGCCAGGAGTTTGAGGTTGCTG